TCTGTATCTTAAGCTTCAACAATTCACACTGCTTTTCTCCTTAAAGATCCCAAATACTGAGTTTTCATAAGACTAAAGGAAACTCTTTGATGTATATTCAAGATAAAAAGACATTTTATTGAGTAAGGAATTCTGTGCAAAATTGCTATAAAAATAAAAAGTATGAAAAAGCACTAAAAATGTGAGTAAGCTGAGGAAGATAGTATGACTTCAGGAATGACTCACACACCTCCCTCTCTACCTGACCTCGTTCAGCTTCACACTAGCTGGGAATGATCAACTCTGACTCTCCCCACTCTCCATTTGAAAGGCAGACCTATGTCCATCCAACCAATATCTCTGACCTTTACTTACCTCATCCGTAAAACAGGGAATAACAAACATCCTTACCCACTTCACAAGGTTGATGTGATGCACCAAATTAGAAAAGATGTGAAATTGCTTTGTAAATTCCACAGACCCATGCACTGACAAGGGATTACTAGTACTGTCATTACTGGATTGCATCCCAAGTCTTCTCTGTCCTCTAGGCACTTACCCCTTCATAGCTTTTCCACCTTATGCTTTGGTGCCAGTGTAAAGCATGCTTAACTAAATGCTCTTGAGAGCTAGACTCACCTAATGACAGGAGACACTCTGGGCAGATATCAGAAGAGCTAAGCTTTGTTTCTTAGACTAAGGATTCTTAGAAAGCCAGAGCCTCAGTTGGCCTAGAACAAATTGCAGAACTAGAAATAAGAGCCAGAAAGTATAAAATTCCTTGCCTCCATCCCACTTCTTGGGGCAAAGCTACTGGGGCTGGATCCAGAAGCTTTGTGTGAGATCTTCTGAGGAGGCAGTTATTTTGGGAGAATAGGTTCAATTCCCAATTATGTCCTCATCCAGAGCAAACACTCCACAGGCCAAAGGGAGCAGAGGCCAAGATAACAAAGACTAGGAGGACATGCTTTGTCCCATCCCTGCAACTGTGAGACTGTGCCTTCTGGTCATAGCCAGGCGCACTCAATCTGAGCCTCACCACCGGGCAGAAGATTACCTTACCCACAGGCTCACTGGGATCTCTCAGCTCCCTAAAAACTTAATCACCCACACCTGTGAATGAGAATCAGCCAAGGGCCAAGACCTGCTCACCAGGCCCACAATCAAAATGGCCTTCCTAATTTGCCCAGCCTTCCCATTTGGAAACTACTCAGAGAACAATGACATAGAAACAAAATCCCCTAAATTCCACACTGCAGCCAGCATGAGCAGAGTTCCCTAAGCCACAAACAAAATTGGGACACACTACATAAGTAGCTGCTACAGGTTCTGACAGATAGGGGCTGTCTCAATAGGGGAAAAGCACTGCTCAGTTTGTTCCCACCATACTATCCCTTCACCTCCTCTCTGCCTCAGCCAAAAGTCAGGGTGAAAAAATATTTTTCAGGGTCTACAGACTTCCTTGCACTAAAGCTGGACTGTGAAATGACTCAGTTAATCTTAAGAAGGCATTTGGAAGAAAGGAGAAAAGAATTTGAACCCAGCAGCCTTCCAATAAATAGTCCCCATGGCTGGAATGAAGCTAGGCCCCATACGCCTTCTGTGGATGTGTTTTCCGGCATTTTCAAGCAATGAGGATCTTGCTTTTTCTTTGTCCACTTCCCCAAAAGCATCTCTCCAAGTCCTGCTGGACTCCAGCTCCCTTTCTCTAGAGGCCTTTGCGCCTGGACCTTTAAAGGGTGGGCTCCAGAGCTCAGCAGGAGCTGAGTGAAGCAGGAGGTTGCTAGGATACTGGTAAAGGGCTGCTCATCAATCCCCTGGTGGGGAGCTGGGAAGGAAAATTTCTGAGGTGGAATTTTTGTCCTTTCTAAGAGCAAAAGCTTAGCCTCTACCCAAAGAGGTCAGAGAAGAGAAAAGGAAACTAGAAACTTCGTTGGGGAAAGTTGGGACAATCAGAAATGAAAAGCCCTCTTCTCTTCCTACTCCTCCTCCTTCCACCACCCACCCACTTAGAGCAGGAATGGGGGCAGGGTAGGAGGCTGTATCAGAGCGGGGAGTAAATGGAGAAGGGAGAAGATGAAGATAAGAGGCAGGAGAGGGAAGAATAAAAAGTCAAATGCAGAGGGCTCCACTCCTCTGGGCTGCATTTTTCATTTTCTCCCACTCTTCTCTTTTTGCATATCCTCACAAGTCTGAAGGAGAAATGCCAAACCTTTAGGATTCACACAAGTAAAAAGTCATACTGCCAACTTTGGTTCTCTACTTCCCAAACTCCCTTTTAGCTGCTCTTGGGTGGCCTGCCATCTGGCTAGCAACACCCCCTTATTTGCCTAGAGATAAGTTAATTTGAAAAATGCTTACCCATTTTGCCAGCTAAATTACTGATGGAAGGGCTCAGTCAAGCAACCCCTTTAGCCTAAGGGGTTGTGGGGGGGGCACAGGAGTGGTAGGGGAAATACCCATTCATTCTGGCACCAGTCAAATCCTTACAGGCCCTAGCACAAGGAGACCATTCAGAACTATGGAACACTCAATGCATGCCCTGCTATTTTTCCTCATTCCTAGCACAACCAACCCCCACCCACATTCAAGAGTGTGCACCCTCTCCCCTCCACACACACAGAAGGGTGTACATACACACCCACAAACATACTGCCACACACCCTACACACATACATTCCCAAAGGTTCTCTGCCAAGGGTCTGTCAGGCACCCAGAGGTAAAGGTTGTGGCATTTCAAGACACTACTTTGCCACAAACCTGGCTCAAAGACTAACCTTAGAGAACCCTTCTCACCTTAAAGGGGAAAAAAAGCAAAAAGCATTCCACTGTTATAGTCCAGTTTTCTTCCCACACAGCTAGGTAAAAAAATCTCTTAGGTAAAACTTAAGTTTCTCCAGATACTAGCAACCAGGTATTTCCTTCCCCACCCCATCACCCATTGATAAATATTTCATTTTCCTTTTCACTTGTCTTTCTAGTTCATCCCCCTCTGATTTCAAGTATATATGGGCACCCAAAATCACCGAATGCAATAACTTGGAGGTCACCTAGTCCAACCATCCCCAAATGCTAATGTTACAGGGAACCCCAAACACATTAAGGAAAAAAAAATTGTCCAAGGTCAAATAATCTCTCAACAGAGAGAACCCAAGTCTGTAGCTGCCCAGCCTAGAGATTTTCCTGTCCAACGTGTCTCAAAACAAAGTGCCCAGCCAAAACATAAGCTTACTTTAGATAATACCACTGGAGCTAAGGGTATATGGTGGGGTTGGGGGATCACATGATTCTCTTTGCAAAGAAACAAGTTCAGTTCAATTCAGCCCCCCTCCCAACAAAGGAAACAAAGAGTAAATAAGAATCTTCCCAGATTCCCAAGAATAAGCACACTTCCCAGATCATGCTTATACCATGGTACCAACAGAATAATAATAATAATAATAATAATAAAAAGCCTTTTACCCACACGGAGCCAAGAGCACACACCCTGAGCCTTAAAACCTCTTCTGACGCCATTAAATAATACTCTCTGGGTTCTGAGATCAGGACAATTTCAAGAACCCCCTTCACAGCCCCTTTCCCTTCATAATCATTTCCAAAGAGATTGAACAATAGGAAATGGAATTTGACAGCACAAGCCAGCAGATTTGTACATCACACGTGAGCAGCCACCCCCATGGGTGTAGGGGGAACATGCGTGTAGACTGTATGACCCTGATTCATTGCTACATGGGCCAGAAACAGCACTATTTCAAGTCAGGTAAACACAGAATGAAATACCTGCCAATCAGTGGGTGGAGGTAGGGGGAAAATAAGTATCATGCACATTGGCATCAGAGACCATTTTTTCTTGGCTTTTCCAAAAGCTTTCTCAGCAGAAAGAAAAATATAAAAATAATAGCAATAATGACAGCAACCACCACCACTACCATCTGATACAGAAATGCAAATATATGTCAAAACTGAATGTTGCTTCTAGCTCATGTTCCCCCCAGCTCTCAGCCCATTCCACCCAGACTTTTTTTTGGGGGAGGGGGTGCTCAGAACTCTTAATTTAGCATGATACATACTTTCATTTTGTTATGGAAATCTTTCAATTAGAGACCTCTGATCTTTAAAGAACAAGAAAGCAAACAAAACCCACCACTTTATCATTAGCACTAGCAAGTTCTATTTAAAAATGTAGCTCAAGAACATCAATGCAAATAAAATTATCCAAAGAAGCATATACGAATACTATTATTCCCAGGGTGGGTAAAGAGCTGGCTTTTGTTGTTTTTCAGAGGACACATAGAGAAAATCGACAAACTCAAATCCAGGGGTACAATCTTCTTTGGGAAAAGGAACCCAAACAGCTCTTGTCAATGTCTCCTCTTGCCAATTCATAAACATCAAAGAAGGCTTTTATGTTTCAGTCCATAATTCCAAAGAAACTGACATTTAATGCTTTAAGAAATGTTTTAAAGGTGGCTTCTTTCCAAATTGGAAACTATGAACTAAACCCTGGACAGCAAATTGAGTCAGGATATAGTCACCAACTGCCAGCTCAATACACCCCACCACATCACTTCTCAAATTCTTCTCATTAGAAACTAAAGAATCATTTCCCCTAAATTCATTCCTTGTTTCAATGTTTTTTCCCTCTTCACATCCAGGGCAGGACTGTCTTTCCTAAAATGTCAAAAATCCATCACGCTCTTCCCACAACCATCCTTGTCCAAAAACAAACCCAAATTCACTCGTGATGGCAAGATAGAATTTTTGACTAAAATTCCCTGATGGAATTTAAAGGTAGTTTTCAAGAAAATGAATTGACAAAACACCACAAACAGCAAAGCCACTGTTTAAGGGCGCAGATCTTGCTCCGTGAACGTCACATAAATGGAGAATGCACATACACATGCACACTTAAATAGAATGCATTTCTTTATCAACAATTTTACTCAAGCAATAAGCAACTACATTCACAGGCATATTTAAAAGACAAGACATGACAAAAGATTTAGGGAGAGATAATATACCAACGTCATACATATCACAGCGAGGCCATGTTGAAGCTCAAAACGTTTTCCCCCCTGAGTAAGAAATTTTGCTTGCTCTTTCTCTCCCTTTCTTTCCCTGTCTCTGTCTGTCTCTTTTTTATTCTCGGTGGTTCTCGGGATGAAATCAAAGCGAGAGTTCGCAACAGCTCAGGAAGCTGGACTCCATTCAGCGCGTTCCCAGGAAAAACATGAGTATGACATTGACAAGCAGGAGGACTACAATCACGGCAAAAACAACTACAGTTTGCACATCCAGGGTCATGGTGCAATGCAGAACACTGTAGTGTTCCAAGTGGGGGGCCGGCAGATTGGGAGATGTCAGTCTCTGTTCTGTCAGACTGTCCATACAGCCACCATGCTAGAAAGGAGAGGAGGAAGTCGGATGGTTGGGGAAGGGCTGGGTTTGGCGCCCGAGTTTGGTATGGGGGGAGGGGATGGGGACAGGGGAGATTGATTTCCCCCTTCTCAGGATTAAGCTGATCTTTCTTCCCTAGCTGAGAAATCTTAGCTCGCGCTGAAGTCGGCAGAATCCAGCATTCTCTCTCGGGCGCCAAGCAAAAGGCAAAATCCTGGCTTTCAAAGAGAAAGGCGGGAGGAACCAGTGCGAGGTTCTCCTGCGCCTGCTCGGTTGTCTGTCCGGGCGTGCGTCTGTCCACCTGCCTGGCTACAGGTCAGTCGCGGTCTCCCCTACTCCCTCTAGGTCGCTCGCTTTCCTAGTTTCCTCGTTTTTCTAGCCTGCTTGCTTGCTCTCTCCGCGGTGCTCCAGGCTTCCAGCCTCTCATTTAAATCCTGCCTTGCTGGCTCTCTCCCTCTCCTCTCCCCACCCCCCAGCCCGTAGGCGGTGTTTTTATTCACCTAGAGGCTGTGGGCGCCTGCGTGAGGAGCTGCGGGAGCTGCTGACAGTACCCTCGGCCAATAGCAAATGCTGCAGCCGCGCGTTTACTCGCTGGGTAGGGCGGGACTTCAGCTGGCGTGCTAGCCCCTACAACCAATCGGAGGGCCCAAGCCTTCCCTTCCCCCCCGCCCCTAGCGCGAGCCAATGGCTGCCGGCTCTGGCGTGGGGGTGGGGAGTTTGTTGGGGGTGAGTTGAGGGGGATGTAGGGAGAGGAAGGGGGGTGCACACAGAAGTGGGAGGAAAGGAGAGGGCGTGGCTGGGAGGGAGGGAAGGAGGAATAAAGGGAAGACTAATGGAAGGGGGGAGAGAGAAGGAATGATGGGAAGGAGGGAGAAGAGATGGGGATAAGGTGAAGAAAGAGAAGGGTGAAGGAAAATAAGGGAAAAAAAGGTTGAAGAAGAGGGAAAAGGAAGGGTAAAAAGGGATAGGTAGGTGGGGAGGTGGCATGCCTTGGCATCCACTTATTTTGGAGTCTGAGCCAAGGAAAAAGCAAAGGTTTCTTTGGCCACTGCCTAAGTATTTACAGGCAACTCATAATTAGCTATACGCATTTAAAAAAACAGTGCTGTCGACAGAACCACAAGGACACACTACAAATTATCCAAAATCCAATTCTATTTGGCCTGCTCTGATATCCCTGTGCTTGCAGGTTAATTTTCTTTCCTGTTTATGGTTTATGACTGCACTCTTCCAGCAAGTTGGGTACTATGAAGAGAAGCCAACTTTGCAGTTGAAAAAGCCTCTACAAAACTTGCAATATGCTTGTAATCACTGTCCTGCTCTGTGTTCCTGATTCTGTGTCTGGAACTAGGGAAAAAGCCCTGGACGGGAAGGTTTCAGATTTACTCCCCGCCCTACTTTAAGCTTGCCTTATGACTTTTGGGCAACTCCTTTCCCCTCTCCTGGCCTCCATCTCCCTTCTGTCACATGAGGACTTAGACCTACCTAAAAATTCAGTGAAAACTCTGAACCTTCACCTCAGAAAAAATATATGCAATTTCAGCAGGCTCCTGGGCCTTCGAAAACCCAGCACTCCCTTATACAGATCTCTAAGGGCCCTTCTTCCTCTTACATCCTAGGACTCTAAAAGTGAACAGATAGATATTGGTAGAGGGGGCGGAAACTAGATTATCCAGGAGTAGAACAAATTAAGTTCTGGAACTCCTAGAATACTATAGACTCTAAGAGGAATGAGAAATTGCTATTTATTCTCTAGAAATCGTTGAGGCTAGAACAGTCATCTTAACTAAATGACTGGAAATTCTGAATGAATGCAGGTCATAAACAAAATGGCCCCTAGCCCTACAAGATAGAATAAAACCCAAAGAAGTCCCCACTTCAAAGGTTTGGGCTTATAACACCACCTATGAATGACTCATGCCAAAACAAACAACATAAAACCCTGAATCAGATCAAGCTTCTAGATCAATTATCAATGTATAGAATACACAGAGGACAGAAAAACATATTAAACTGCAATATGGAAGTAAAGAGTAAAAAACAAAAACAAAAACAAAACAACTACAGGACCAACAACCTGGCTTTTTAACAAATAAATAGGAAGGAAAAGGTTTGACTTAGGTGCAACGTGTGTGTGTGTGTGTGTGCGTGCACGCATGTGTGTGTGCTTCTGCACACACACATTTGTGATATTTATGAAACAACAGGAAATTTGAACAGGCTGGGCACTTGATGATAATAAGAATCGCTATTACTTGCTTAGATGTTATAATGATATTATGGCAAAGTTTAACAAAATGCGGGCAATAGGGATAATTTTTGTGACCTTGAACTTGGCAATGGTTTCTTAGATATGACATGAAAAACACAAGCAACAACAACAAAATAGATAAATTAGACTTCATCAAGATTAAAAACTTTTGTGCTTCAAAGGATACTATCAAGAGTATGAAAAGACAGTTCACAGAATGGAAAAAAAATTTGGAAGTTATATATCTGATAAGAAACTTGTACCTAGAATATATAAAGAGCTCTTACAAGTCAATTATAAAAAGAATAACTCAATTAAAAAACTGGCAAAGGTTCTGAAAAACATTTTTTCCAAAGAAATAGTCAATAAGCACATGGAAAGATGTTCAACATATTAGCCATCAGGAGAATGCAAATCAAATGCAGGAAATGCAAATGCAAGATATTTACTACAGCATTACTTATAATAAGATACCCCAAGCATGGTTATAATAGAAAAGCTAGATGTGGAGAAATCTGAACCTTCATAACACTGCTGGTCAAAATGGTTGAAGCTACTTTGGAAAACAGTCTGGTAGTTCCTCAAAAAATTAAACATAGGGTTACTATTTGACCCAACAATTCCACTTCTATGCATATACCTAAGAGAAATGGGAAAAAAATGCCCACACAATATCTTGTATATGAACGTTCATAATAACATTACTCACAATAGCCAAAAGATGGAAAAAACTCAAATGTCCATCAGCTGATGAATGGATAAACAAAATGCGGCATAGCCATACAATGGAATATTATTCAGCCATAAAAAGGAATAGAGTACTATTACTGCAACAATATAGATGAACTTGGAAAATATTATGCTAAGTGAAAAAAACAGACAAAAAAGGCTTTTGTATGATTCCATTTATATGAAATGTCCATATAATTATGGTTTAATGAAGCTTTTGTTTCACTTATATATAAATGCAAATGTGCTAGATTGTGATGTAAAATTTGTTTCTTTTTTTTTTTAAGATTTTATTTATTTGAGAGAGAAAGAGAGAGAGAGACAGCACAAGTTGGGGGAAGTTCAGTAATCTGTGTTTTAACAGTCCCAGGACCCTGAGATCATGACCTGATCTGGTCAGATCCTTAACCAACTGAGCCACCCAGGCACCCTGTAAAATTTATTTCTTATAGCAAGTAATTCCAAAATAGTTTAAAAGCCACTCTGCTAGATTATGATGAGACAGATACTAGTGATCACGACAGTACCATAATGTAAGCAACTAGAATCTTTCTCCTTGCTTTTTTTTTTAAGTTTTTATTTGAATTCCAGTTATTTAACATATAGTGTAATAGTAGTTTCAGGTGTACAATATAGTGATTGAACACTTCCATACGTCACCCATTGCTCATCACAACAAGTGCACTCCTTAGTCCCCATCACCTATTTAACCCATCCTCCCATCCACCTCCCCTCTGGTGACCCGCAGTTTATTCTCCATAGTTAAGGGTCTGTTTCTTGGTTTGCCTCTCTCTCTCTTTTTCCCTTTGCTCATTTGTTTTGTTTCTTAAATTCCACTTATGAGTGAAATTATATGGTATTTGTCTTTCTCTGACTGACTCATTTTGCTTAACATAAGAGTCTCTAACTCCATACATGTCATTGCAAATGACAATATTTTCTTCTTTATTATGGCTGAGTAATATTCCATTGTGTATATATACCACATCTTCTTTATCCATTCATCAGTGGCCACTTGGGCTATTTCCATAATTTGGCTATTGTAGATAATGCTGCTATAAACATTGGGGTGCATGTATCCCTTTGAATTAGTATTTTTGTATTCTTTGGGTAAATACCTAGTAGTGCAATTGCTGGATCATAGGGTAGTTCTATTTTTAACTTTTTGAGGACTCTCCATACTGTTTTCCATAGTGGCTGCACCAGTTTGCATTCCTACCAACAGTGTAAGAGGGTTCCTCTTTCTCCACATCCTTGCCAACACCTATTGTTTCTTGTTCTCCTTGCCTTTGAAAGGGCAATTATATCCTATCTCCACTTCATTGTCTATTGACCCTTCACTCCACTGCAGCCTGGCTTTCACTCCCATCATTTCATAGGGAACTAAAACCTCTTGTGAATATAAACAAATGATCAACTTGTTACTAAATGGCATGACCAATTTTCATCTTTATCTTCCTTGACTTCTCTTGCTCTTGATTCCATTGATGCCTTTCTCCTTCCTGAAGTGCTCCCTTTGCCTTGGCGACATCATCCACATGACTTCTCTGGTTATACAGTCTTTACTTCCTGTCTGGGTTCTTCTTCAATCAATCATTTAAGGCCATGATTTCTCAGGGTTCTTCTAATCTCAGTCCCCTTATCTTCATTCCACACTTACACTGAATGGTGGACCCATCCATTCCCAAAACTTGAACTACCAGATACATTACACACTGATGTACCTCCTTTCAACAAAGTTACTGAATACTAGGGGAACAAAATCCTTTCCTGCATACAGCTTACAATTCTCTGCTGATGTTCTCTTGAATTCCAGAGATGAATCTCCAACTGCCTTATGGATATCTCTTCCTGAATATGTCACAAGAACCTCAAACTTAGTCCAAAATTGAAATAATCTTTTCCCATCCCTGCCACTTTCCTCTTTCCCCTGAGTTCCTTGTCTTGTAGGAATGTCTCCTTACAAAAACCCTAGGAGATATCTGTAAGTCTTGTTTCTCATTCATCTTGCTTCCAGCCAACCAGTCCTCTAAGTCCTGGTAATTCTCTTCCTCTTTAATTTCTCTCTCATGTGTCCTTCCTCTGTCTCCCTGCTACCAGTATTTTAAATCAGTTCCTCATCACCTTTGATTCCATTACCATCCATTACTTGGTCTCTTGTGCTGCTCTCTGTCCCCAATTCAGCCTCTACTCTCCTGCCCAAATTATCTGTCTCAAAAGCATTTCTGCTCCTATCAATCCTATGGTAGATATTATAGACTGGTTGCTCAGGATCCATGCCACCCTCCTTCTAGCCGGCCCTCCTATATTGCTGAAAAGCTCAACACCAAAAACCTACAACAGCCTGTCTTTTCTCAGGCTCCTTTGCATCCAGTGTTCTGGATGTGATTTATTTCTGGTAATCATATGCATATGCACAATATTTGGAAGGAGGTAATGACGCAGAAGCCATATTTCTGCTGCTTTTGTTGGCAAGCAT